AAAATCGAATAATACGAGAAAACTTGCCACGACTGGGGGATCAATCACATTTATGCTAATTAAACTTACATAATATTGTTGCGGTGCGTGGACATGGACATGGACAGTATGCCTTGACAAATTCAATACAGATTTTGTTTTGACAAATTTCGTGTGTTGTGTGCAGAAAAATGTAAAATGCTTAGATAAGTCAGATATCGATGGCGATATAGATATAACGCTTAGGAAATGTAGCAACTTTATTATGCAGGCCAGAGTGATTTTGTTTTTTTTTTTTTTTGGGAGGATGGGGAAATTGTGAGGGGTGGTTCCGTGGGGGTGGTGCACTCCATTGTAGCACAATGAACGGCTGTTTTGTGGTTCTTGCACTTTCGCTTTATTAATATGCACACCACCTACATTTGTGTTGCTCGCTTTTCTCGATCCGCGCGCGAGATTTCTCCACGCTGCAGTTCAGTGGCCAGCTATGTGGGATCGCCGGATCGGATCGGATCAGATCAGATCGCTTCGGATCGGATCGTTTCGGATCGAAATCCGTTAATTCCGTGCATGCTGCATAAAGCAGAAGGGAAATTGTTACGGGAAGACGATCTCCACCGATCACAGATCACCGTTCCGCGATCGATGCGGATGCTGTGCTGGGGACCATTGTTCTACTGCTGAATTGCAAATCAGGCCCATAGTTCTCACTGCTGCAATTTGCCGTTTGTTGGGGCAGGCAGCAACAACAGTTCTTCGCGGGATGTTTTTCCGTTTTCCACACTGCAAAAAGCCAAGAAATGATTTTTTAAATTTCAAAATACATATTTACAATACCAAGTTTAAACCTTAGTTTTATGGATAAATTTAAATGGCTTGACATTTTAGCGTTTAGATTTTAATATTAAAAAGAAAAATATTCTAAACCTTCTCTAAAGAACCAATTACTTACAAAATAATTTAAAAAGACTAGTTATTTATAAAAAAATAAACAAAAATTTTTTTTACTTATTAATTTATATGTTTAATTTTAACAAGAAAACAATTAATAGGTAAAAAGTAACATAATATACAAATGTTTAAAGGTTAAAGTTCATCTATAAAGTTTTTCTAAAGATTCTAAATAATTTTTCAGTAACTATTTTTAGAAAAAATAAGCCTATTCAAATTTTGTTTTATTTTAATAGAGAAGTATTAAAATTAAATCGAATTTTGTTTTTTTAAATAACTATGTGTCCAATCAATATTCTCTTGCAAGCAGCCGTTCTGAATTTGATTTTGCTTTTAGTTCAATGACTGGGTATAACCTATACCTAGATTGAAATAATGAAGAACGGATTCCTAGTGTTTTTGCCAGTGCGTGTTGAAGCTCCAGTTCAGTCAACCCGCGTGGTCAACGACTCCCCAGTCGCTGGACACACGTGGGTGTGGAGCGTGGTGTCGTTGGCGTGGCCTTGTCGCTTCCCCCCATCCAGGTTGAATGTCCCGTTGTGTCTTTGAACTCCCTGCCAGGGCTATGGCTATGGGTATAGCAATGGGTATAGCCATGGGTCTGGCTATGGCATAATGCCCAGCGAAGTCGCCAGACAGTCAGACGTCTCTGATGAATGAGACAACGAACCCTATGGCCGCTGGCAGCAGCCGACGAAAAAAAGCGCCGAAAGCCGCAAGATAAATCAATAAATAAGCAAATACCAGCCAAAATCGAAATATACCTGACGCGATCTTCGCATGCAAATCAGGGGCAATGGTGGAGCTCTCCCTCGACGGCCAATAATTAAAATTACAAATTCGCCCTCGCCAAACAAGCAGCAGCATTGGGCAAAAGGAAGACGCCTCTTCTGGCTCCGGCAATTAGCATCGCTGGGATAGGTTCTTTGCCGGATTGATATATGCATAAAGACGCGGCTACGTGACTTGAATGAAAGCGCTCACTCCCCCGATGAAATCCTTGATCAGAGCGTTCATTGATCCCCACTCTTGCATCGTCAGAGGCTGTTGCCAAGTCGGAGTCGGAGTTCTAAGATTGCAGCCACCACAAAAAAGAGCTTGGCATGTGGCAAGGGAATCTAGTGATCTTCAAATTGTGGTAAGGAACAGTGGTTTCGAAATCGATCTTCAAAGATTAGAACACATAAGGTACTCATCTTATCATATTCTCTGGAAGACAAAATGTTGTTTCAATTTTTCTATTCATTTGGGATTTTAAAATATATGCATAGATAAATCAAATTAATTTGGTTTCATACTAAAGGTTTAAAAACAAAGTAAATAAGAAGAGTGAATGAGCTGGAAAAAATCTTAACATATTTTATCCCCAAGATAAAAGTTTAATTTCTTTTTGGAAAACAGAATTTAAATCCTCTTACAAATGCACTGATATTATGTTGTGTCTTATTTCAAAACATTTGGATTAATATAATAATATTGCTCCAATTCTTTAAAGTATAAATACAACGAACGTTTTAGATGCAGTCATTTGAAAAAGGAAAGCTTTAACAAGCCTCATCAACAAATAGTTTCCCACCCATAGTCCATCTTCCCACTGTGCAGTCGTGCTGATAAATAAATGCTGGCATTAACTTGCCATATATTTTCATTATGTGCGACACAGAAAGTCGTGTTTTATTTCAACACAAGTGGATTTTAATAATAAAATGTGTCTAATTTGGTACCCACTCGCGGTGTGGACGAGCAAAGAAGGAGAAACAAACCTGATTGCAGCAGAGCCTTTTCGTATTTATTTTTATTTTGCCAGCCCACCAGTGGACCATTGGATGTGCCGGGGATATGGGGATATGGGTATATGGTTGCCTCGATGCACTTTCCTCGGCCTCCGAGGCTTCCTTCCCGGCTTCTATGTGGTACGTGCGAGGCGTCAATGCTTCATTTCCCCTGTCATCTTAAGTTGATTGCAAGTTACGACCGTGTCGACACCCTACCTGACACCCTACTCGCTCCTCCGCCCGGTTAACTAACGGTAATTGCAGCAGTTGCGCATGCGTGCGCCGGGGTTATATGGCTCGCGATTATGCTCGCACCTCGAGTACTTCGGGTCCCGATTCGGGGTTAATTCCCGGCCTACTCCTGGCCATGTGCGGGCGGCTTATTAATCAGAGCGATCGTTGCACAACGTTCCTGCCACGAGTCTTTCGGGCATGATTCATGCTTAATTGGTTCCAGAAAGTCACACTGCAAAAATAGGTTAAAATGACCTAGACTTAATTAAGTAAAAGAAGATTTAATATACAATCTTTGTAATTTCAATATTAGTAGGCTTTAGCAATGTTTATAGAACATATACATTTTTAAATAATGTGTCATCTTATTTGCATGCTACTTAAATTTTTCCATTAATGCACATATTAGTATCACCCAGTTTTGTCTTTCTGCGTTTGATAATTTTCTAAATAAATTTATAAATATTTAAAATTCCAGTAGTAAGGCAATTTTGGTTTATTTTGGCAAAGCTCATGCATTCAGCATATTTTGTTTAGCAATAATTTTTTTAAAACATTTGTATTCAATTTAAATGGTCTATCTAAAATGTAATAGTTTGGACTAACTTCTCTGAGTGCCCCACCAAGCCGAAAGCGAAACCGAATAGCGAATCCAAACCCGAGACCGATCCAGCTGTAAGCCGTGCAAATCTCACCCAAGTTGTCAATTTCACAGACAACACATTTCAATCAAACTTCGCCGTGCCATAAATAAGCCGCCAAGTGGACCGATCCAAAAACCTGGCTCCACCACTCCAATCTTTTAAGTCTCCCTCGCTTAAATTACACATTGTACTTCTGGTTGCTTATATATTGGCTTTGGTTTTGGCTTGTTGTTGTTGTTGTTGTTGCCGAGCACGCCTAACGTTCACATTTTTCCACATGAAATTATGAAGTTTCCATGGCAATTAATACGCATGCGCAGAGTTGCGAGTTCGAATCCGAATCCGAAGCTGAAGCTGAAGCCGAATCCCAAGTCTCAAATCCCAAGTTGCCATTCCAGGCGGGTGTTGTCGTCCGTCTCCGGCTGGCTCGCATGTCAATTTGATGGCAATTAACTTGGCTCCGACGCTGGCTTTTGTTTTAATAATAAATTTAATGAGCTGCCAAAAATGGTTGCAAATTTACGTGGCAATTAGCGGGCTAAATGACGGCGACACTTGGCCAAAGAGATCGTGCCTGGGCGGAAAGCTGCGACTCCGAATGTCCAAATGTCCAACTGTCCGTCTGCCGCTGCTGCTCCATTTTGCTAATGAGCGCTGCGATTTTCCTCGTATCTTTGGGGCTTGGCTAAGAGGTGGTGCTCAGTGCTCAGTGCTCAATGCTCAGTGGTTTTTGTTTTTTGTGCTATGTGGTGCGAAGGCATTTTCCAGGGTGTGGTTGCTTAGATTTTCGGCGGTGGGTCAGTTGGAAGTAGCCGCAAGGTGACAATGTTGCTGGTAGCTAAAAGTAGTGGTCGTCCGCGAAGCTTGCGATCTGCCGGTTAATTTTCAAGATAGAGCGCTCTTTAAATACATATTTTTATTTCCCAAGCATATTTGGTAAGCACAAATTATGGTTAAGGATAAAATCACTATTTAGAGATAACTGCTTACACATACATTTTTCATTTAATGGTTTAAATGTTTTATACCATACCACAAAAATAATACAATATGTTTAAGGAAACATATATTTTTTAATTATTTCGACAAAAAAAAATGCAAACTAGGCCAAAAAAGAGACCTCAAAACCGTCAACTTGAGCTGGATCGGATGAAATATAGCTCTCAAAAGAATAATCGGAAAAATAAATTCAAACAAAGTATAACTAAGCTGTTTTTAAAGTTCAAGTTTAATGCGTTTATCGATTTATTGTCAATGTAAGGAATATTTAATTTTTCAATTTTTGCAGACGTATGTAAACTTCGACTTGCCTAAGTTTGCTTTCCATCTTGATTATTTTTTGCTAAAATTAGTGCCTGTTTAGGCATACATATGCTCGCCCGTCACCATCACAGCCAATAATAATAAAACGCTTACCTCTTTTTAAGAAAACTTCTTATTTGATTTAAAATGTGTTTACAGCTTTGGTTGTTTAATTGAAAAGCCACTGAGTCCCTGGGGAAGTGGGTCAACGACTAGGGAGGATTGTCCGCCGTCTGAAGGCTCTACATCTGCGGATGGTAGCCGTGCATCTCGTACAGCTCCATCTTGGTCAGCGTCCGCTCCAACTGATCGGGATCCAGCTGGAAGTGACGCCTGAGGATCTTCCACTGACACATATTGAAGTAGTTGTATTCGCCGGACTCCTGGAAGCCATGGTACGAGTAGTTGGGATTGTCCGCCTGCCTTTTGATCCAGATACGCTCGTGTGTGTGGTAGCGCCAGCCCCGTTCCGCCAGTTCCGCCGCCGCGAGCAACTGCATCAAGTCGCCGGTGTACATGTAAAAGAAGAAAAACAGCAACTCCGCATGCATCTGTCCCGTTTTGGGCTGTGGCAGACCCAATTTCCCAGCCAGTCTATAGTTCAATGGCACATTGTAGTCATCACGTGCTCCGGCAAAGTGCAACCAGCTGTTTTCTCCGGGTTCCACATTGTGCTGCACATCATCGGCGAACAGATTGGGCTTTTTCAGAGGATTTCGCTGCAGCGATTCCAATTTGCCGGCCAATCCCAGCATGCCAAAGGATCCTTCGACAGCAGCAGAACGTGTCGAGTTCTCCATCCTCCACATCCTGTCGTACAAAGGGGATTCCAGCTCGAAGTTGACACCGCCAAATGGCATGCCCGTGTAGTTGGTATTCAGGCGGGCATACATTTTGACTTTCTCGAAGCCGGGCGGAGGATGGACACTGGGCTGGGACTTCTTGTGGCCATTGCGCAAGGCCCGTTGACGGACGCCCTCGTGGAGGAACTGCTGGCCAAAGATTAGGCTCACAGTTGGCGATGGCAGATAGCCGAACAGCTGGGGCAGGTACTCCTGACCCTTGAAATCGCTGGTACTGCTGTTCGTATCGCTGGACATGACAATGTCCCGGAATTTGCTAAACTCATCCGGTTCGCCGTCGCTCATCAGGGTCTTCCAGTCGTCGGGAATTGTCGACGTTGGGCTAGATGGAGATCTGGCAGTGCCTGGAAGGGCCGGAAAATCCTCCCGGAAGAGACTAAACTCCGGCGGAGTGGGCTCATGCGGTGGAGGTGGCGTCGGGATCTCCAACTTCGGCATGTTCTTCACCACATCCACATATAAAGCCGGAGGATATCCATTGGTGGGCGGCGAAGATTCTGGCGAGGAATAGGTGGGCTGGCAGGGCGGTGGACTGGAGGAATTGTCCTTCTCCCGCTGCTTGTCATCCAAGATCTTGGTAATGTGGCGGTTCATCGTGTACTCAGGATTTGAATATACAGCTCACAACTTATTCCGTAATTTAAGTCCAGATATTTGAGAAAAAAACCACATGTGATTAATGACAAAAGTCGTTTGACAGTACCGCTCGCAATAATGACAAAATATGCTTACCAACACTGGGATTGTCAATAAAAGCTTCGATAAAAACAATCGATAACCAGTTGTTGTTGTCGTCTTTTGCATTTATGTGAAAACAAAACAAAGTGCTTGAATAAATTAAAATAATGTTGATAATACAGTTTTTAGTGGCATACAAATAGATTTATTGTGTTTGTGCAAGTGTTTATTTGTGATATTAATTAATGAATTAAAAGATTGATTGAGTTTGTTACACTTTTCTATAAGGTTCTTGAGGCTTTTGCAAACATCTTTCAAATTGCAATTGTTAAACAATAAAATAGTTAAAAATAATAACTCAAAAGTATAAGGAACGTCTTGATAAGTTAAAAACTATACTTACATATGTTTTTTATAGGGCTCAATTGTTTTAGTACTATTTTATTTGTACGACAGATTAAGTGCACCTCGGTCAGCCGCACAGCCGCAGCTTTCAAATATTTGTTGACAAAAATTTGAAACTTCTTTTATGCTCAGAAGTTTTCATTTTAATGCTTTTGTTTACATTAAACATAAAAAACTTAAACTCCAGGCAAAAGTGTAGAATTAAACCAAAACCGGATTTTTAAGATTTAATGATAAATTAATGCCTGACATTGTGTGGGTGCCACGGAAATTGCCATAAAGCAATTTAAAAGCCGAAGTCATAAATTCAAGTGAATCCACCTGCAGAAAATGCCAGAAAAAAAGGCTAGAACTGTGCGAAAAAATAGAAAAAATAAGAAGCTAAGACGCACAAAAAAGTCTCTTCTATAAAAAAAAGAAGGCAAAAATAACTGGTTGGGAAGCATAGCCCATTAACTTAAAATGACACCCGACTCACATAAATCTCGTTCTTTGGCCAGGCAAATGTCTCTGGGAATTGACAAAGGGAAAGGCCGCCAAAAGAGTATGAAGACCACGAGGAGGCGGATGAAGATCGGGCTAATAGCCCAAGTGCTCCTGCCCACAAAAACGTTGAACAGCAAATGGTCATTTGCCTGCCGCAAATCAACGAACTTGTCCAGCGGCCACTAAAGTCACAACACTCGCGGAGTCAGGTGCATGGTGCTCCGCAAATTAAGCACAAATAATATAAAAATACAATAACGTAGAATCCCAGCCGCTGGCCAAGAAAAATGATACACATAAGCACGGCCAAGAGCAGGATCCATAAACGAAAAACGAAAAGCTGTACGACCGAAGCTCGAAATACCCTTTAAAATAATTGAAGCCGTGAGCCTTTATAAAAGAATTATTACGATATCCGCCTATAAATTTAATAGGGAGTACCCCAGTTCTATAAAATATTGATGTAAAGTCGCTTTTGGTTTTTTGTTTTTATAAAACAAAAGTATTTCTGTACATTATTTATGTAGCAAATTACTAAAAACTGGTATACGTATATATTTTATAATATAAACTATAGTAATATTCGCTCATAAACTTAATACAGAGTACCTTTTACTTTTGAAAAATAGATGTAAACCCCTTTTGACTTTGTTCTAATAACACAAAAATATTCAAACGTTTTATTCAGTGACTAAATTATATTTAATTTAGTATTTAATAAATATATCAAACTATGCCTTCAAAGAATATATTTAAAACTATAGCGCTACAAGAATATATAACTAACATAGAAATCCATTTATTTTGTATACCATTTCTAACTAGAAACATGATATTCCTGATCAACAATGTAATCAAAATAGCCCCCAAGAAAGGGTATAGTAGCTCGCAGGACCGCGACTAACGAAGCCAAGAAAAGCCATCACGAACTGCGGGCAGAAGCTGCTCCGGCCACATAAACTACCATAAATCATACTCATGTTGCCGGGGACAGCGACAAAAGCTGCAGTCCACAGTTGGCCAAGATGGGTACGGGTCAGGCCAATTGCGAAGCCATTAAATCGCCGGGGCCATGGCCAGAGCAAGTGGAGTTCTAGGCCGCAGCGCCGATCGCCGAGAGGTGTCAACTGAAGGTGATCTTAAATTGGATTTTGGTTTTCATTTGATTGCGGAATACTCATTTTATATGTATTTCAGAGTGTTACCCTCCCGCACTTGATGTGTCACTTGGCCAGTCCTTAAGAAAAACTTCCTAGCTTACCAAATCATTCATTTTATGCATCGAATGTACGATTGTGGGTGAAATAATAGCATATAAAGATTGGAAGCTTTAAATATTTTTAGAAATTTTAATTAATTATCTAATTTGTAACATAATTAATTGTCCTCTGAAATGGGTAAGTTTCTATATTTTTTAAGCCCAACAAGTAGACCCATTATTCTTGCCCCCACTGTTTATTTGCAGAGTGAACAAACCGCAGTTGGGATCGGGACCTGTTGGCCGCCATCAAGGCGTGCATTATGGAAATTAGCATCGGCTTAAGTGACGCCCCATTCGTCGCCACAAATGACCCTGCTCCGAGCTCCGACGGGTGCGTGCCGCCATTGCGCCTAATGACCAGCGGGAGCAGCACTTGTAGTTGCATCTAAGACATCACTAAGCACCGAACGGAGCTCTGGGAGCAGTTGTCGTCCCACAGCCTGGTGAGTTTTACGAGCTCATCGCAAACTGCTGCTTCTTTGGTCCGGGAAGAGCCCAAAAAACATGTGTACATATTCCACGCTTCAGTGGGCTTAGTGGAAGGCGGGCCATTAGCCAAAGCGTTCAGCATAATGGCCATATGTTTATGAGGTTCTTGGCAGTCTTTAAAAATTATTCACAATAGGCGTAGATCACTCTTGAGACTTAGCTCGTCTTTGTGGGCGTTCGTTTAGCCAAGTAAAGGTATATTTTTTACGACCATCAAGTTTAATTGCAAAAAATTACTAAAACTCTCAAAGTCGCACTAATTGTTGGCAGAAATTTAATTACTTTTGGAAAAATATGGATTATAATTTAAAGAGTTCTTGAAGAGGGGTTTATATGTATGTATATATTAATTTTTGGTTTAGTGTTATAGAAAATAATAACATTGTGTTGTTGTTGACAGTTACTCACTGGGTTTCATTATAATCTAATTTGTATACAGAAATATAGAAATTTCTATTGAAGTGATTTTATTATTATTAATATACCCATTTATTATTTTTAAAATATAATATGACGTGCAACTTTTTGAATTTGGCACATTAATTAAAATATTTTAAAATTAAATCATGCAGTTAAACATGCTAGGTATTTAATATTAAAAAGTTGAATCTCTTTTTTAAATACCATTTGAATTTATTAGCCATTAATTTATTTTTACCATACCATTTCATTATCAGTGCATAATAATTTCTTGAAATATATTATAAGGTGTTTAATGGTAACATTTAAATCACATATTTCTGGTCTACTTCAGTAATTAGATAGCCTTTTCCATACTGGGCCAACTTTATGAGCTAGCCATGGGCAAACAAACTGTGGGCCATCATAAACATTGGCATGCTGTTGGTCCGCCAACAATTGGCATTTGCAATCAGGAGCAACTGCAGCACGCACTGCCGGCAAGTGAATGGCAGGCGGCATTGGCACTATGCCACGACAGGTAGGTAGTCCGCATTGGGAGCTGGACTAAAGTTGGCCAACGTAGGTGGCACTCTGGACACTCTGGACAATGTACATGCGGAATGCCTGGCGGGGAATGTGGGGGGACACTCACTAACTGGCCAAGTGTCAAACTTGCCAAATTGAAAACGAAGTTACGATGCAATCGCCGATTTGTTTATGCTGCCGTTTTGAACCGAACGCAATTATATTTATTTTTACTTTTTACTTTATACTTTTTGATTTTCGCTGCAGTTGAAGTTTAATGAAATATTACGCGCACGTGTCAGCGTAGAGATAAAATTTATTTACGCAGCATTGCGGGTCAAGTGAAAGCACATTTTTCTGCAGGCCTTCGGACCTTCAAATTGAATTTACGCTGGGATTTCGGCCAAGTGGCGAATTAAAAATCGAAACCGAAATCGAAATCGAAATGTAAACCTGACTTAAAAATGGGCGTAGGGCAGTCGCATTGACACGCGGCCATATTTTAAATGTCAACAGGCTGAGAGAGATCGGATCGTGGATCGGATGGGATCCCGATTCCGATTCCGATGCCGATCCACCAGCCAAGGATGGGGGCAATCCGCCTTGTCCCTGCCCATGCCCATGCCCATGCGCATCAGAAATTCAATAAAATACCATTAAATTACAAAATGAAGACAATTCATTTTTCTTGTTTTCCTTATTTTCGAGTCGATGCGATTGCATTTTGTTTCTTTAAGCAGGAGCATTTACTGTCGTTTTGCGGTTATAAGCAATAAAGTATTAAAATCCTTCTGGCTTATAAATGTTGAAAGCGACATTTATCGTAATATTTTATGAAATCAGTGAATATTCGGTGAACGTTGCAACTGGCAATGCAATGCAACTTTGTTGCCCCTGGAAATTGACTTGCTGTTCATTCGGGTTCTATTGTTTGGCCATAAAACTGGATGGCCGTAATGATGGATGTTAGTTGGTCCGATGCTGAATCCGCAATTGAGGCTTCATCTATCTTGATGTACTTGCTGGTCTCAGTGGGTTGACAAGGTCAAAGATTATGGTTTCGATACGCTGCTGATGTATTGCAATTGCTTTTGTTGAACGACCTAAATGGTTTTATATAGAGACATATGATTAAGATTCTATTTGCTGCAGTAAATCGAAATATCTTAGAAAACAACTTAATAACAATTAGTAATTATTGTATATTATCTTTTTGTTTGTATTTTACAGAGCATCCCGAAGTAAAGACACCGAATCCTCTGGCTAAGGGATCATGATTTCAGTCAATTTTAGGGAAAGGAAAGGCATGGAATCGGGCCAAGAGTAATGGCCAAGGGTTGGCCAGGGCAACGCCCATCACATACTACCGAATCGAATCCGGGGCGATTTTTCTTATTGCCTTCAACTTTGCACTGCCAAAATAATACGCACCGTGGCCTAAAAAAA